CTTTGGATTGGCAAACCACCATGTGCAGGATAAAATCCTGCAGGCGCAGCCCCACGTGCCTCAGGATAAAACATCTAAGCGACTGAATTTAGGGGCCTGAGCCTCCGATTTTATCCTGGTCGTGTGCGACCCCTGTCCTTGGCAGGGATGTTTCTCGAAAGGACGAAGTCCACAACCCATGCAGGAAAAGCCTTCCGAGATACAAGGCGACGGGGATGCCTCTGCAGGATTGGCTTGCCATTGGCTGTAGGGCACACCACGACTATAGCTGCCGTGTAAGACAGGCAGCTGGGCTGAGAGGGCTGCCAAGCGAGCACAAAGCTTCAAAGCGCTAATGACTTACGCCTTGACCTGTCACATTTCTGGAACGAGCATGTGCGGGTCTAGGCCTTCAGCGCAACTACGCGGCTGTGGTTGTGAGCAAATGAAGGTTCCGAAGGCCGAGTGGGACTGGCCTCGCGGCTTCGTCTCCCAGCTTCTGGGATTTGGGTCTTCACAGCTCGGCCGCCTGAGCGACGCTGGGATGTCACATTCAAAGGCTGGCTCTTCCAAGCACAAGCGCAACACGAACGCCGCGCACCCAAGCTGCGATTCTGACTTCGACGAGGCAGGTGGCAGCTCAGGGAGCTCAGGCACGGCTTCTTTCTAGTATGAGCACCCCGCATGCCGCATGTCTTGCAAACATCACGATGTTCGCTGTGGGGATGTCAGAAAGGCGACCCTACGTTCGGTCTGCTGGGACTGGGAGCTCCTTCCCAAAAGTCTCATGTCACTGTGTGCTGCCTGCCGTCCTGCAACGCAGCACTGGAAGGAGAGGGGCAGCCTCACAAGGATCATCGTCATTGAAACACAGTCTTTCTTGTTGCCATTGTTGTGAGAAGTATGATGGCTATTGTTCTGGAGGTGCCATCACAAAAAGAAATCCGCGAATCTATGGGAGTCTGTGGTAAGCTGAGCTCTAAGAAACAACAAATACCCTTAGAATAACATCTCGGGGGAAAACTTGCATCTACTGCCTGCACACTGCAACAATAGCTGTCCTGAAGTGTTTGGTAGAGAGAGAGAGCCAACCTAAAGTTCCTTGAGGCTTAATATAAACTGTGCAACAGTAAGAAAGCAAGTACGTTGGACAACCAATCCAAAGCAGAAGGTGTTGCGAAATATTGCAAACTTGCAGCATTGCTACAGAACAAACAGTGCATGAAGTACCAGTTTTGATCCTGAAATTTACACACACGTCAGTCCGCATGGCAAGCTCAGTCCCAAGGCACCTCCTCCATAGCAGCAAGCCAATGATGCCCCAGGAGGAAGCCAGGACATGGCATCGAGCCATGTGTGGAGGCAACGCCATCGAAGAAATTGCCATTCACACAGTATCGGCTTCTATCAATAGCAAGGGTATCTGGCAATTTAGGGTCCAGGGCTTACAGGGCCTGGGGTTTAGGGTAAGGTGAAATTGCCATTTACACAGTATCGGATCGTAAGGTATCTGGCAAATTGTTACCATCTCACAATATTGCTTGAGAAAGACCTGCAGAAATGTCAACCACATGCAGTACATGAACCTTGTTTTTTTGAGAGGGAGGGGATAGCTGTTTCAAGTTGGAACCGAGCTAACGCTTCGATTTACCCCGTGCTCTTGAAGCGAAACAATAAGTTTTTGGCGCCCTTCGGAGTGTTATGGTTAGGCGAAAGGGTCTACGCTCCAATCGTGCTCTGCTTGAGGATGTGTACTGTGCATCTGAGGCTTTCAGGGCATCTAAGGCATCTAAGGCATCTAGCTTTACGTCTGCGCTCCTGGTCGTCGAAGAATTCGCATGAAACAGCTTCTAGCACGCGAGCACGATCAGCGGCGACCAAAGTCGCCTAAAGCCACCGGAATCGTACCGTCACTGCCAGCAGCACCAGCACCCAAGCCTGAATCGTCTTTGCCAAAGATGAACAGGCTGCCCTGCGCGTGTGAAAGCGCACTTCTTCAGAACCATGTGCTGGCTAGCTTCGCAAAAATCTCCCTCAAAATGCTTTGGCTTCATGCGCTTGCACGAAGTTATAGCACACCCCGTCCGGAGAACTTGCGCAAATCCTAGTACAGAAAGGCCCACACACACACACGAAGCCAGAATTGCCTAGATTTTTCGACCCCCTTGAAGGTCACAGAGTTGCAGCTGCAAGCCTCACGCACACACCGCTTTCTTCTGCTGCCTAATACACTTCCAGCTCTGCCCCTGCACTTACGCGGCATCGCTTTTTAAGATTAGAGGGACACATGGCGGAGTCGGCGTGACAAGCCTTGGCGGAGTTGCGGAGTCCTCGCAGATGCCGGCTCCAACCTGCTGTATGCTCAGAAGGGCGGGTGGAAGCCTTTGGCCAGGATGATAAGTGTCGAAGTCATTCACAAGGCATTCGCGATGCTGCGGCGCTCTTGCGGAACTCTTCAAGAAAAACGCCGCCCTGCTTCTGAGAGCGGCGTGAAGACAAGCCAGCATGGAAGCGCAACCGGTGCAGACATTCTAAGAGGCCTCCGGTGGCAGCGTCACAACGCCGGGCTTCCAAACGCAGCTTGATGAAAGCGAGCTTGGGACCGGTGCCCAACCCAGCCTCCCTGTGAAAAACGCAGAGCTCTTTTTCACTTCACGCTTAAGCCATCAAGCACTCTAAACAAGCTTAAAGAAAGCTCAAACCATGCTTTGCCAAGCAAACACAAGGTTCCAAACGTGGTTTTTCACACTTATGCAGAGCAAACTCATGGTTCATCCCACATGCAAGACATTATAAGCGCTCACAAGAAAATCAAAAAACTTTCTTTTGCAAGCGACTGCACGCAGCCAAAGGTCGAAGTCAAAAAAAAAATTACTACAAGCTGCACGCGCGGCCAGGCTTGGACCAAAAAGAAATGATTAACTCTTTACAAGCTGCCGAAGACCCATGGCAATTGGCTTCAGTAAATTGCGCTTGTCTTGACAAGTGAACAGAATCACAGGCACAAAAAGAGTTACTTCTTCTGATCACGGAATGCTGTATCGCAGAAATTCGGGCGGAACGCTTGCAGTGTAGTTGCTGCACCCTTAGCGCCTTCAAAAACATGGTCAAACCCCAGTCCAGCCCCGTTAAGTGCGCACTTGTCTGGAGACGTAGCAACTTAAAATCCAACACGCTTCAATGTCTTTCTGTTCAAAGTCCAAGCCTGCCAAAACTTCCCAGCAAACGACTTGCAACCGCAAAAAACGTTAAGTGATTTAGGTGTTTCTTAGAGCTAGCCATTTTGAAGTGTTGAGCACAAGTACTTTGCAGAAATTTGATTAAATGCTTGAAGGGAGATATGGACACCAACGGAGCTTTGATAGAATCTACCATTCACCTATGATCCCGTAACCCCCATTGGCTCAAGGCCGCTATGCTCGAGGTGGTTAAGCCACCAGGGACGCAGTAGCTCTCTCTAGGGGAGGTGTTCCAGTTCTCCACTCTGTGGTGGCTACAGGCCCAGTTATGAGAGATGCATGAGAATTATGCATTTTGAGAGGCTGTCGATTCTCGGGCCTACGGCCCGGAGCTCGAGCGATCGCAGGGGCTCTAGAATGCTTGCAAAACGGGAATTCGCGGCTGCCTTGAGGCTGCATGCCAAACAGCCTGCGAGCTGCATGCCAAACAGCCTACGAGCTGACTGCCGAGCGCTTTCCAGCTGCATGCCGAGCGCTTTCGAGCTGATTGCCAAACAGCCACGAAGGCCTCCGCTACGCCTTGCCAGCGCTCCGAAGCTCCGCCTCCCCTCAGACGCGCGCTAGCGCGCGCTAGCGCGCGAAGCGCGCAACGGTCCGCTCCCCAGCAGCTTGCGAGCCGACGACTTGCATCCGCTCCGCGGTTTTCGCAGCTTCGATTCCCGGCCTCTATGCCTCGTAAGCCTTGATGCCCAGCAGGCTTCAATGCCCGGCCTCGATGCCTGGTAGGCTTCAATGCCTCGATGCCTCGCAGGACTTCCGCTCCGCTCGCAAGCACTCCGAAGCTCCGCCGCGCGCTAGCGCGCGAAGCGCGCACCCAGCAGCTCGCGAGCTGACCCGCAGCTCCGAAGCCCGCCGCGCGCGATGCATCTGCTCTCGAGTCACCGCGCAGCTGTTTTGCAAGCACTTTAGAGCCCCTCCGATTGCCAGCTCTGCGGCCTCCAGCCTGCAGAATCGACAGCCTCCCGAAATGCATGATTCTCATCGACGTCTCGTAATCAGCCTCATAGCCACCACAGAGTGGAGAACTGGAACACCTCCCCTAGAGAGAGAAAAATCGGATTGATATACAGCCCCGTGAAATATCAATTGCCATCAATCGTGGCGAATGGTTCGTTTCGCGAACCTTTTGTTGCCGTTTTCCAGTCTCTTATCGCCTGAAAGCGTAGCAGGTTCCCGCCTGATCGTCCACAAGCTCGATTTCTCTCGTTCTATTTCCCCTTTCAAGCCCGAAGAGCCGATTGACAGAATTGATGGAATTGATGGTCCTCCTGGGTGGTTGGGCGTTTTTTTATTCTGGGCCTCTATACCTGGCACAAGTTGTCTCTCGGGCACGCTGAGCTGCAGCCCAGGGCCGAGGAACCTCGCTTGCGGGGGGAGGCTCTGGGTCGCGGCCCGGCGGTCCAGCGAGTGGAGGAGGTACCCGACGCTTAGGGTTCAGATGGGGCCATGCGTAACCCATCGCCTCCTGTGAAGCTCGCGCAGGCTGGGGAGCCTGGGAGCCGTCCAGGGAATGGGGCGGCTCCGAACACCTCAAACCCCACACCCCTGGGTCTCCGCCCTGGGGAAATGCTGCCCGTTTTTTTTGCAAGGTCGGAAATCCGACCTTGCTCTGGAAGAATCACAGGACGCTCAATAGCTCCGAATTGGTGGCCCGACAGCAGCCCATGTAGAGGTGCTTGAGTGTGAAGTGCGGACTCTCTACATCATAGAGCCACACTCTCCCTCTCAGGGTCAGCCCTTGAACCGAAGCGTAGGTGATGGCGCTGCAAAGCCTGGTGTGCTTCAGCAGCTCCGGGCCCGCAAAGGACTGGCCGCTCTCCAGGCGCCACCGCCTCCACGGTCAGGAAGGTTCCCTTCTGCACCTTCCGCCCGGCCCCGATGAGCCGCAGCCCCGGCCAGACCCTCATGGTCTGCGGCGCATTCAGCCCCCCGAGCCTCGTACTGCACCAGCAGGGCATCGGCGGGCGCCAGTCTGCGGTTCTCTCGCTCGTTGATCTGGAGCCGCTTCGCATGGGAGATGACCAGGCTCACGTCGGGCTCGCCTCGCCTCGGGAAGCGCCGCCGGGCCTCGCGCACTCCCTCGGGCAGCGGGACCTGCTCGGGCTCGTCCACTCGCAACCAGGTCAGGAACTCGAAGATGCGCTCGTCGAAGCGCCAACGCTCTGAGAGCTCGTGGCACCAGCCGCCCGCCAGGTCGTGCAGCAGCTGGCTGTCCTTCAGCTCCTTGCAGACTTCTGCGCCTGCGAAGGAATCAAGCACGGCGGGCAATTGCCGAAAGTCTCCCAAGAGCAGAAAGCGAATCTTCTTGTTCAGGCTCAGACAAGCTATGTCAGCCCACAGAGAAGTGTCGAGCTGCGTCAGCTCTGCGATGACCAGCCACGTGGCGCTGCAGTGCCCGTCGCGCACGTTTCGCCGCACCCAGTGGTCCGCCGTCTGAGCCCCCAGCCCGACATTTTGCACAGCCGCGTGCGTTTTGGTGATGATGTGCACCGTGTTCCCGTGCTCCCGAAGGGCTTCGACGATCTTCTTGGCCAGGTGGGTCTTCCCCGTACCCGGAAAGCCCGTCAGCAGCAGGCTCTCGCCGTCCAGGCAGTGCTCCACGGGGTCCTCCACTCGGCACGGCGGCTTCGCTCGGATGGGCTCCGCTTCCATGCTGGGCTCGCGGTACTGCCCCTTCAGCCCGGCCACCTCCTCGTAGCGGTACACGGGGGTGCCGTCCCGGTGCGACATCTGCAGCAGCCGCTCCACGGCGGGCCGGTGCTTCTTCGGGACGTCCTGCATCACCAGGCAATCGGTCTTGATGCTCTTCAGGTAGCGCTTCGGCACGTCCGCCAAGGCCTGCCGAATCCGGGCCACTGCCACGTACTCGGCTCCCATGATGTAGTCATGAATAGGTCGGTAGGAACTGTTGGAGAGCAGCTCCGTGACAAAGATGTGATCCCAGTGCCTTCTCCCGGCGGAATCCGTGAAGGTCTGGCGCCAGCTGCAGCCCTCCCCATCTACCTCATGGTTTGAAGTCTTCATAGAATAAACAAATTCTATTCTGAGGCTGTTGATGGCCAGCTTGGCGTAGTGCTCTTCCCCCTCCGGCCAGTTCTGCTCCATGCGCTCCAGGACCAGCGCTGGTCGACGTGCGCGGTGGCGTCCAGGCTCCACTTGAAGTGGCTCCACTTGGCCAGCCCCGCCTCCAGCATGTAGGCGCACGCAGGCTTGGGGTACCACCCTCTCCCCACATAGGGCAGGCGGTCCAGCACGCCCTTGCGGCGGTCGCACGGCAACTCGACCCAGGTCAGGTCTGCGACGATGCAGTCCAGCGGGGAAAAGACGGGCAGCGGGAAGCGAGCATTTGCTAGGCCGTTCTTTCGGCAGCGGCGCACGTCGATGCCCTGGCAGGGGCGGGAGTCGTCCCACTTCTGCAGCTGGAAGACCAAGGGGGCAGCCGAGGCGAGGCCGCATAGTGCTGGTACACAAACCGACAGAAGCGGCTCTCCAAAGTGGTGCTGTGGTTGCCCTCCAGGCTGGTCTTGGTCCGGTGGCACTCCAAGCACAGGGCCTGCAGCTCCAGCTGCTGTCCGGCGAAGGACTGGGAGACCGGGATGACATGATCGATCTCGAAGGTGCCCAGAGCGATGGGCGCTCCGCACAGCTTGCACATGCCCTGCTGTTGGGCCAGCAGCTCCTCCCGGCGGCTCCGCGTGTCCTCGCGCCTGCCCTGCAGCAGGTGCAGGAAGACCTCCAAGCTGGCCCCGGCCAGGCGCTGCCCGCGATAGGGCACGCCCAGGCGCTCCGTCCACTGCTGCAGCACCGCCGCATCCTCGCAGAGCTCCCGAATCACGCAGTCCGCTCCGCCGCGCACTCGCAGGCGCAACGACGACCACTCGCACAGGCCCCGCATGGAGACCTTCGGGTGGTGCCCCTGGGCCAGCAAGTCCGCACCCCGCGGATGTCTTCCGTCCAGAAATACCCTGAGCCAATCTCTCCGTCCCAGGGCTGCCAGTCCTTGAACTCCGGCACCGGGGTGTCCCGCCTCAGCCGGCGGTAGCGCGGCCGCTGCTCCGACTCGTCGCAGCTGGCCACGGCCCGAGCGCTCCGGTAGAAGAAGGCGTGGCCGTTCCAGCTGGTGAAAGCGACGGCCCGCTCCTCCTTCTCCGTGGGCTGGAAGCTGTCCAGCAGCCGGCCCCGGCAGTCCACGTAGAACATGGGCGCATTGCGCCACACGCAGAAGGTGCGGATCTCTGCGGGGGACACTCCCCGCTGCTGCCAGTTCCCGGGGCAGATGGAGTTAAAGTCTTCCAGGACGTCTTGCAGCGGAAGCTTCAGCAGCTCCGCCAGCTGCTGGGGCACGCAGAGCATGTCCCGGCGCTCCTCGAAGGCACTGGCGAGGATCTGGTCTCCAGCGAAGAGCTGGTAGCTGACCTCTCGCAGCGCCCCCAGGGGCTGGCGGAGGCGGATCTGCGTGTCGACCCGATTGTCGATGACCTGCATGGAGGAGGAGCTGTAGGCCCACTCGTTGGTAGGGTGGAGGAAGTACACTTCCCCACTGATCATGTAGATGGGTTCGCCCTCCCCAGGCTGCCCCAGCTGCCGGAGCACCGCTTCCTTCACGTTGCGGGCGACCTGCGCCTCGCTCCAGGCGTCGTTCTGCCGGGACAGGCCCAGCTCCAGCGTGATGACGGGCAGGTAGTCATGGCGCTCGTAGGGGTTGCCGTTCCGCCGGCGGCCCCGGATGATCACGGGCACATGCGCAAGCCACTCCGTGTACTTATCCTTGAAGAAAGCTTTTCCTAATTTGGTGACATGGTACTGGCCGTTGGGCTGCAGGGTGCGCACGAGCTTCCGCGTCCCCCCTCTCATGAGGATGTAGTCGGAGGCACCGTCTCGGATGAGCGGCTGGGCCTCGTCGAACTGGCGGTTCGGGGGCCGCCGGCCAGTGAGGCCGAAGAAGAACTGGCCTGCGCGGGTGAGCTGGCCATTCGGGCGCGAGAGGAGCACGGACTGCAGGCGGTGGTCCCTCAGAGGCAGTAGCTGCGAGCCTTGCGCTGAGATCCGTGGTCTGGCCCCAGCGTCGGCTGCACGTCGTATCGCTTCGCGTTGTTGCATCCACGACATGATTTCTAGGAGCCCACAAAAAAAATCTCGCCCTCCGAACGCGTCTGCCCCGCCAGGCATTGAGGCAAAAAAAATCTCCAGCCCGAGAGGGGCCGGATAAACCCATCAATTCCATCAATTCCATCAATCGGTTCTTCGGGCTGCATACAACGCTCCCAGAGCCCGCGAACGGGTTCGAGCTCGTCTCGCGAGCTTTCCGTTTGCGTCGAAGGCGTTGATGAGGTCGAAAACGGGACTTGCGGGCGTCAAAACCAAGCGATTCGCCGCGATTAAGGTCGATTGATATTGCCCCCGCCCAAATATCAATCGAGTTCGCGGGGCCTCGGAGCGCGCGAACACGGATTGATGTTCCCGGGGGGGAAATATCAATTTCCATCAATCGCGGCGAATCGTCCGTTCTGACGCTCGCGAGCCAAGGTTTTGGACCTCCTCGGACACTCCGGTCGCCCGGAAGTGCGGACGAATCGACGTTGCCCTCGATTTCCTAGCTCTCGCGCCCGTTTTGTACCCCGAAGAGCCGATTGATGGAATTGATGGAATTGATGGTTTTTTCGGGGGGTCTCGTGCTGGAAAATTTTTTCCCCCATGAAGTGAGTCATTTTTGACTCCTCTTCATTCACTACGAGACGGTTAACTTCGGAAGATCTTCCGTTGACTCCTGTCAGAAGGGGCACCGCTGGGGCTCTTCGTCCTTGAGCATGACGTCTGTCACTTCAATCAGCAGGCCGCACTGCCCGCTCATCAGCCACACTTGCCGGAGCTCGGCGCGCAGCTTGCACTCCCGATTGGTCAGGTCCCCCAGCTCCTGCAGAGGCTGCTGATCGGGATCCCACAGGCGCACCCGGTCCAAACAGACCTTGAGCTTGATGAAGGGGTTCCCTCGCGTGGACTTCTTGAGGCAGCTCTCCATGTCCTGGGTGGTGAGCAGGCGGCCGAAGATCTTCGGGTCCGCCAGGGTTCGGCTGGCCAGCTGCGCCACGAGGGTCTTCTCGAACCCAGCCAGCTCTGACGTCGCCGCCTCGCTGGGCTCCAGGCACAGGGGCAGGCGCCGGGCGTCCTCGCCGTTGTAGGCGCTGGGGTGCCACAGGATGCGGATGGCCCGCCGTCCTCTGCGGCGACGGGGAAGAACTTGCCGCCTTTCGGGTTGGCCAGGAGGTCACCGAGCTTGATCGCCGTGCTTGGCTTGTCGCTCATGCTTCCTTTTTTCCCGACAAGAAAAAAAATGCCGGTCACTGAACGCATCTCCACCGCGGAGTGCGTGGGGGTCAACCTGGCCCTGCTGGCCTGCCTGCTGGTGCTGTGGGCTTTTTCTTACCCTCCATCAAATGAGGCTCCTGGAGCTGTTCAGCGGCACGGGGTCGGTCGGCCGTGCCTTCGAGGCCCGTGGCTGGCAGGTAACGAGTCTTGACAGCAACCCGAAGGCCAATCCAACCATCTGCTCCGACATCCTGCAGTGGGACTACAAGGCCTTCGAGCCCGGGCACTTCGACATGGTCTGGGCCTCGCCCCTGCTGCACCGAGTTCAGCATCGCCCTCAAGAGGCGGCCCCGCAACCTGCCGGTCGGGGACGCCCTGGTGCTCAAGACGCTCGAGATCATCGACCCCCTCAAGCCCAAGTGGTGGGCCATCGAGAACCCCAGCACCGGGCGCCTCAAGACTCGCCCCTACATGCAGGGGCTGCACATGGACCGGGTCACGTACTGCAAGTACGGCTTCCGGTACAAGAAGCCCACGGCGGTGTGGCACAACCTGCCCTGGACGGCCCCTGCCGCAAGGGCGACCGCTGCGAGGCCTTCCAAGGAACTCGGCACCCCGAGGCCGCACAGCGAGGGCCCACCAAGGGACGGCAGGGGAGCAACTCGCGGGAGACGAGATCGCCGCGAGCGCAACGCTTGGGGTAAATGGGGAAGGTGCGTCTCTTCAAGACGCCTGAGTACTCCGTCAAGGAGGCGCCGGACCCCGTGGTCTGCAAGCCCCCCGCCAACGGGATCCTGTGCGCCCCGTCGGCTTGGGAAGACGGTGCTTCTTGTCTCAATGATTTTGGAGCAGTACAGGGGCTGCTTCGAGCGCATCTACATCTTCTCGCCCTCGGTAGAGGTCGATTCCGCCTGGCAGCCTGTCAAGGATTACATCCGGGACGAGCTGGGGGTCAACACCGACCGGGAGCAGTGCTGGTGGGAGGACTGGGACGAGGGTGCGCTGCGGAAGATCATATCGGACCAGAAGCGCATCACGCAGAAGAGCAAGGAGCTGGGCCTCAAAAAACTATACCAAGTATTGATAGTTTTGGATGATCATGCCGACAATCCTGCGGTGCACCGCAAGACGGGCGACGGGGTCCTGGACACACTATTCATTCGGGGTAGACATTTCTGCATAAATACCTGGGTGAGCACCCAGAAGCTGCGGCTCATGAGCTCCGCCGTGCGAGTCAATGTGATGTTCTATTGCGTCTTCCGGCTGCGAAATCAGCTCGAGCTGGATGCGTTGGTGGAGGAACTCTCGGCCATGCTGCCGAAGGACACCCTCTACTCGATGTACGAAGAGGCCACGAGGGAGCCCTACAGCTTCTGGTTCGTGAATCTGCGCGCTCCCAAAGAAGACATGTTTTGGGTGCGCTTCGACCGTAAGTTTGTGCTAAATGGGGACGATCCTCAGCCAGATAGTGGGCAAGCTGCTGGGGGGAGGGCCCCTGTGCGAGAGCGAGTGCAGCAACATTAGGTGCTGCAGCAGCACGCAGGGCATCTACGACCCGAGCCGGAACTGGCCCCCGCCGGACAGGTCCCGGCAGGTCTCCGACGAGTCCACCGCCAGCGACTTCTCCGCCCGCCCCGCGCGGTTTTTCAGGCGCAAAAGAAAGCTCATGACCTCCATCTACGTGGACTCGCGCTTGCGCACGCAGACATCGGCGAGTCGGTGCACATCCAGAGCGGGGCCAAGCTGGCCGTCTACAAGGTGCGCATCGCCGACGCTTTTCTGAGCACGGACCGCGGGACCTTCCTGTACTGGGAGGACGAGGTGGCTGGCACCCTGCACTACGCCGAGCTCCCCGTGGGCGCATACACAGGCCCAAGGCTGGCCGCGTGGATCTCCAGCAATTTCGCGGCGTGCTCGTACACAGCCGAAACAAATGAGCTGGACGTCACCTACGACGGTGTGCGCCTGATCCTGAACGACGCCGAGCTCCGGCAGCGCTTTCCGGGCACGGGCCCTTACCCGCCGGGCGCCTCGCCCAGCAAGCCCCTGAGCATCAACCACCTCCTGGGCCCCAGCTACCTCACGGGCTCCGTGCAGCGCTTCGTCTTCGTCACTATGAATCCGTTCTCAGAGCTGTACTTGCGCTGCCCCTCGCTGGCCAACGGGGAAACCACGGTCGGCCCGCTGGGGCACGACATCTTGTGCAAGATCGTGGTGTCCAAGGGCGTGGGCCATGTCATGGAGACCGAAACCTCGGAGGGGCACTGGGTGAACCTGCACGGGCCCATCACGCTGAGGCATTTGCGCTTCAAGCTCACCGACTACCAGGGCAATGTGGTGGACACCAGAGGCACCAGCGTGTCCTTCCTGATCTTCTTGGACACCGAACGATAAAAATGTTTTTTAAATTAAATGGCTGAGGAAGATGCACCCGCTCCTGTGGCCGCCGAGCCTCCCGTGGCCCCCGAGCCCGCCCAGCCGGTGGCCGAACCCCCTGCGCAGCCAATCCCCGAGCCGCCGACCGAGGCTCCTCAAGAAGCGCCGCAGCCCAAAAGGCGAGGGCGACCCCCAGGCTCGAAGAACGCCCCCGACTGTGGCCGTGGCGGAGCTTCCGAAGCCTCCTCAGCCGGTTGAGCCGCCACAGCCCCAAGAGCCCCAGCAAGAGCCCCCGCAACAGCCCGTGCCCCCTGAGCGGCCTTCGGGCATCACGCCCTCGGAGGCCCGCCAGGCCCGGCAGCTCTCCCGCGCCGACCGCTTCCACGAGTTGCTTCTCCGCAATTCCATGGATATCTAAAGATGATGCGCTATCCGGAGTGGCGCAACGAGGCCGCGATGCTGCGGGCCTTTCACAAGCAGTACCCTTCCTGACGCCGCTGCTCTACAAGCGCCAGCAACAGTTGATCGATGCAAGAGCGTTCAATGAATGGTTGGCCAACCGGCGGCAGCGCCAGGAGGGCGAGGCCTATGCGGATGAGGTGGGGCGCGCCGTCGACGCCGTCAACAGGAGGATCCCCCAGTTGAGGTGGGCCCCCGCCGAGCGAGCGGGCGTGCGCCGAGTTGCGCGGGACGTGGCCGCCGGGCGAAACACGTCCGACTCTGGGGTTTACGGCGGCTTGATGTAAAGCATGGAGGAGCGACGTGCGCACGGCTTCCGCGTGCGGCCGTCCTACTCACAGGTCCTGGGCTACTTTTGCACTTTGCACGCAGCGAAGTCTGAACATCTCGGTGTGAGAACGGAACAGCTAGTTCGCCCTGCGACGGTAACACGTGCAAGCCCAGAGGGCCCGGTGCTTCAAGAGCACATGTTGAAAGTACAACATCACGAGAACTTAGAACCTACCACACAGCTGCACGAATTGGCACATACAAGACACCACGAATGGCCGGTAATGCATGTGAGAGACACTGAATTTGCAGTTGGGCTACATCGCCGAGGGCGAGCCCTTGCCCATCAACCTCCCGAACCGCAATGCGAGCATCCTGACTTCCTCGCACTTCTGGCTAGATGACTATCCCCAGAGCAGCGAGCCCGAACCTGCCCCGTTGCCCCACACGACCGTGGACCCCGCAGCGGCGTACGAAGATGCAAATGAAGGGTACGATGGCGTGCCCTTCCCGAGAAGGGACTTCCTGCGCCCACGGCCCTTCGACCTGGACAGCGAGTCTGATTTTGGCGCCGTGGACCCTGGCCAGGCTCTGCGCAACGACGGCCTGAACCCGCCGCCGGCGCCGGGCTTCCTGGGCCGGCTGCAGCAGGCCGAGGCCGCGGCGGGAGCTGCGGCGGGGCTGGCGGGCTCCGGGCTCCGCCTCCGCCATGGCGGGGCACGGGCAAGACCTCTACAACGCAGGGGGCGCAACTGGAT